TCCGATTAATGGGAACTTTGGTTCTTTAAGACCAAAACCAGTTAAATAATATAATGCCACAGGAACAGAAGGATTGATTATACGGAAACTGGAAGAAAGCCAAACTATAAGTAGTTGCACACATTTGCATAAATATTCTTGTAAACTGAAATTTTTGTACTGCACAGCATTAACAACAAAGTATGAAAGTGAAGACTTCCCAGTCCATATTCCAACTTAGGCACTGTCACTCACATAGAATTGTGCAAGGCAGGTGGCTCACAAGTTCTTTGAAAAAAATCTCCAACAATGGAGTTTCAGAAACTGTCAGCTACCCTTACAAATCCTTCCCATGTTTAATTTGAACCCCCCTTACACTTTAATAAGAAGTTACTGCTCACGCTGTGAGAGCTAAGTACTTAAAGTGAGAACACCCCTGCGCTAGATGCTTTGTACGCACAGAATAAATGACAGCATTCTTGTTTCAAAGAGATTATAATCTAAAACCTCATAACCGCAAAAATATGCATGCTCAAGTCCATCTGACCTGATTAGACCTTCTGCCACTTCATATTACTGGATCAAATACTTCAGTGTTATTTAAAAGGTCCAGGTGGGAGAAGAGGTGAGTTTACATGTATCAAGCTTCTAGATAAGCACAAAATTTGACCTAGCATTTTGTTTTTGCAAAACCGCAACTTTCTTAGTACCATATTTTGTTTTCTGCCTGTTGTGTAAAACGTGGTCAACGCCAGGGGTAAGAATGTACGTTGTTCGAAGTTAACCAGAAACGCGGGAAGCCAACTGCGCATTTCAATACATCCTGATCATTAAATAACCGATCGCCTTCCCCTGACCACCGCCTGCACTAAACGTTTTAGTTCAAAGATAGCTCTGCTATGATTATTAAATGCCCATCCCAAACAAAAAGTTAAGAAAGTTGTCAGATACTGTAGTCAGCCCGACTCGCAACCTCAAAACAACAGAGACACTATCAAAATAAACTCTTCAAGCTTCCACCATGCTTTTGGATGGGGATATGGCTGAAGGTAGACGTAACTAAGGTGAACTCCAGACAAACACTACTCTTGGCAAGTTTCACGGGGGGGGGGGGGGGGGGGGGGGGAGGCTAGGAATGTTACTTCTTTTCACATCGTGGTAAGAAAAACGAAAAAAAAAAGCTTTAAGAGGCCCACGACCGATTAACACAGGGAGGCACACAACGGGCTGCGGGACACCGACCGCTGTGCTGTGCCTGGCTAAGGCCCAGGGGACTCCGCACGCACGCTCTGCTGACCCGCACGGCCCGCCAGCCCCCACGGGCGACACCCCCGCCCCTGGCCGAG